ATGTCATCCACCACCCTCTCTTTTCCTCTTCCATGAGACCTGCTGTGACCCAGAGAGGGGCTTCTACGTCAGCCAGGGTCCCAGAGGGGAATCTGTGTGAGGCAGAGCCAAGATGACTTGTGATAGGCACATTATGCAGGGAAGAATTAAGGCTTTTTGTTACTGTGGAGTATACTGACTGGCAAAATCAGAAACCTCTCTTTAAAGGTGCAGAGGTATCCAAAGATGAAAAGGACCACCTGGAGAAGTGGTGAGTTTCCTGGTTTGGAAGTATTCGAATGTAGCTGAAACACCACTTTGGAGATGGTTAAAAAAATTGGGGGTGGTGGTGATGGGTAGGGAGAGTGGGCAGGGACTGAGGTATCAGCTGAGTGGTTAGGACCTTAAACTTCTTTCCATAGCTAAGATTCTGTGCCACATTACTAACGAAGTAGAAGTAGGTGTGAATGGGCAAGACCTTCTGTACATCCATGCTTTAAACTCAGTTGAAGAGAAGGAACATAGTGACATTAGGGTAGATTAATCTCAGTTTGTGGTTACTGAAATTGAGAGCATTAACTTATGCTTATTTGAGAACAGGCTTCTGGAATGTAACAAAAAGGAGAGTTAAATATTTGTGTGGTTTGAGATTAACCATAAAAGACCTTCAGGGGAGGATTAGAACACAAGAATAGCTAGAGAAAGAGTAATTCAGTCACTACTATGAGCCTCTCCCAGAGCCCTGCTAACTGTTAGATGTACCTTGCCAAACCACACGCTGGCCAGAGATGAGAGAAAGCAGGGCAAGTAGTGGGATGCTGCCATTCCTTCAGTCTGCAGCCCAGAGAAATACCCAGGCAGTGTTCACGCCTTTCTTCTCTCTCCCCTTTCCGGTCTGCTCCCTGCAGGTCCCAAAGTTTTCTCTTTGCTCTTTTTTCCGCTCTTTCATTTATGTGTTACTCTTATTACTGTCTCCTAGTACTCAGATCTCTCATCATGTTATCATCTCTTAAGTCTGGTCTTGTTTCCCTTTACCCATTTTTCTAAGTCACCAGAGGTAGGAACAGAGGTAGGTGAGAGAGGTAGGAGCAAGGAAGAGTAAAACAAGGCAACATTTTAAAATAAGGGAAGCTTTCATTCACAAAATGAAGTGAGCAACATATGGTGGTATGTGCACCATGTGGGAGCATGGCTTTGGGGAAAAATAAGAGACCTAAGTCCAACTTCAGCTCCATTGCTTATGATGTACATGACCTTGAACAAGTTTCTTAAATTCTCAGTGTTCTCTGTTTCCTCATCCTTAAAATGAGGTCAATAACTACCTACCTAGCAGGGTTGCTGGGAAGATTAAGTAAACTGCAATATGTAACATGGCTAATACATAATAGACATGAGGTAAAAGGTTGGTATTATATAGATTACATAACATTGTAGTTTAGTCTGGATCTGTATTATTGGGTTTTGTCCTCTCAGCTTAAATGCTTTAAAAGCTGGAATCATTGTCAGTATTTTTCGGTGTCTGTAATTTTATTGGTCACAGAAATGTGTAAGTACTCAAAGACTTGGATCAACCCCCAGAAAATTACACAAATATATAATACATGTTATGAATTGAATGTTTCCCCCCAAATTCATATGTTGAGTCCTATCCCCTTAATGTGATGGTATTAGGAAGTAGAATCTTTGGGAGGGAATTAGATTTAGGTGAGGTCATGAAATCAGTCCCTCATGTTGTCCTTATAAGAAAAAGAAAAGAAACCAGAGAACTCTCTCCATCACATGAGGACCTAGTAAGAAGGCAGCAGGCTGCCTGCAACCCAGGAAATGTGCTCTCAACAGGGACTACATCTGATGACACCTTGATCTTGGACTTCCCATCTCCAGAACTGTGAGAAATAAATGTCTGTTGCATAAGCCATTCAGTCTATAGTATTTTGTTATAGCAGCCTGAGCTGACTAAGACTATATGTATATATTACCCCCTAGTTTTGTATGGTACCTCTTATATTAGTATAACTGATTGCAATTTGAGGATATCATCTTAGTATATAAGATATAGTCTATTTAGAACTATATCTAATATAGGATTTGTCATGTCAAGCAAATTTTATGACCTAGGAATATACATAAGGAAGGGAATAGACACAGTTCCAGTCTTTAAGAATTTTACATTTCACGTGACCTAAAACATTTAGACAGAGTCTTTTTGCTCCCTACCAAATATCTATTTCCCCCATCTTCTTTGTTGACAGAATTTATGATTTTGTTTGAAATGTCAACATACTCACCCCTGGCTAATATTTCACAATGGTCTAAGTTAATCGTGAGAATCTTGTTTCCTGCTTTCAAAGCCTCCTTTGAAACTTCCTTGAAATGTAAGAAGTCACTAAGGGGGCTTCTAGGAAAGCTTTTGCCTTTCTGATAAAAGGAGAGAAGTAAAAGCAGTCTAACCTGGCCTGAACATATCTGTGAACAAAATGAAGTTCAGATTCTTTATGTATGCACGTTATTTTATTTTTATTTTTTATTTATTAAAAAGAGGGACGGGGAGGGAGAAAGTGAGGAAGAGAAACGTCAGTGTGAGAGAGAAATACTGACTGGTTGCCTCCCAAAACCAAACCCACAAACTAGGCACATGCCCTGACGAGGAATTGGACTGGTGATCTTTTGTTTTACAGGATGACACCCAACCAACTGAGAAACTATTCAGGGTGTGTGGACATTATTTTAAATAGAAAAAGATCACCATATAATACTATTTCTAAATAGACTGGAAAAGAATCTAAAATCGTTCTCAAACAAATGTTTATTTTAAAAAAGAAATAATAAAGAGAATTAAACCAAAGTATAGAAGTTCTTTTCTACTCTGACTCTTGGGCTCTATTTTGTACACAGTCGTCACTTTCCCAGTGATAGTGAAAATTAGCCTCTTTCTCCTCAACAGCCTGTAGTAGCTGTTAGGGCATGGACTAGTCTGGGCCATTGCAGCAACTAGCACAATACCTGGCACATACTGACACCCCAAAAGTATTTGTTGAATGAAAGATATCACTTCTTGCTTCAAAACTTTCAGTGGCTCCCTTTTGTCTAATAGTGTAGCACAAATTCTTCACCCCAGTATCTAAGTCTTCTTTACACAGAACCTGTCACAACCCAACCAGGTTGAAATAGAACAGGTTGTGCCTACAACATGCCTTATACTTTTGGCTGCATAACATGCTTAGTTCAAAATCCTTACTTTTCACTTCACCACTCCTCCAAAGATTCATATTACCTGCTTCTCAAAGACTCTTCTTGTCCCCTAGCCAACAGGATTGCTTTCCTCTGTGCATTGCCATACTGTATTTCACATATGGCACTTACCATATTTTGCTTTTGATTATATGAATTTGTGTTCATGTTTAAGCTCCCTTCCCCATCTACACTGTAAGCTCCATGGGAGAAGAGGAATAGCAAGACAATGAATAAGCTTTTGTATTACTCTCCACAGCATAGTGTACACAGTAGGCATTTCATTCAGACATAAGTGTGTACATACCTAGTGTTTGGACCATCAGTGTTCTTAGATGTGAGATGGGAAGTACTTATGGAAAATACATATTATTATGGGATTTAGTATTGCACAGTGTGATTAAGAACACAAGCCTCTGCATTGGCACGTGTGGACTGAGTCCTGACTTTGATGCTTAATAGCTTTGTAACCTTGGGTAACTTACATAATCTTCTAAACCTCAGTTTCCTCCTCTGTAACATGGTAATCCTATTATCTACCTCATAGGTCTTTGTGCAAAGTAAAGGAAATAAGGTATGTAAAATATTTAGTATGCAAATAAGCATTTATTAATATTCACTCAGTATCATTATTATTTCAGCTTAAGATGCATGATTTTTTAATGGCTGACATGCTTGCTTTGCAATATTGGATTGTAGGTTTGAAAGCCTCTCTGTATTGACTAGCCCTCCATCAACAAAGCAGTGACAATGACCAAGTAACTTAGAATTCATATATATTTTGTTTCAAAATCTCAGAAAATTTCTGAAATTCTCTATTTAATTTTTAATAGAGGCATATGATATGTTTTTTATCTTAGTATTTAGTGTTCAATAATTCCTTATTAGGTGAATGGTAAGGATTTCTTACAAATAATTCTGGTTACTCATTTAGTATTTATAAAGCACATCAGTGAATGCATTGCCCCTTTGAAATGAACACAGTGTGACATATCTAAGTCACAGCACCTTAAATGCAAGACAGGGTTTTGTAGCTTTCTGGTCCTAGTGAACCTAGGGGCACACACACTCATCAATGGACACAAGAGCTGAGAGGGTAGCACCCAAGGAGTTTTCAAGATATCATTTGCTTTATCCTAATTTAAATAATTGGCAGTTCCTATAACATGAGGAAGCTTTGAAAAGTAGGGTGTTTATACAAAGGGAATAAAAGAGAAACCTTTATTTTAGCATTTTATGAAATGTTCCTTCTAAAGAACAACATGTTTTTATAGGCTTGCACTGATTAGAGAAACCTTATTAGATATAAATGAGAAACATGTGCTTCTGGTGATATTGTACCCAGAGGACTTGAGTTAAGTAAAGCCTATTTGAAATATACCCAATTGGGCAGTTAATGAACCCTCTTCAACTTAAAGTGAGAATTGTTACAGGAGAAAAAATGTCCAAAATAGTTGCGGAGACAAAAAGATATTGAAATCTTTCCAGTATCCCCACTGTGTTGATATTTAGGAGTTATAGCTAAAGAAGTGCAGCTTTCCCTCCATGCCTGAAATTGATTTCTTGTATAATGCATCATTTTGAATGTCAGCAATCAACCTTGGACTTCTTTAGAAGACCAGAGACCGAGATCGAGAATGCAGTCAATGGCTATTTCAGTCCTAGAAATGAAGACATTGGTAGTGTAATAGAAGGCAAGTGAAAAATAAATACATTTATTTTTCCATCTGTTAAGACATAACTAAAACATTCTTCTCATTTTTTCCTTAATATTTTGTTTCCTGGCAACAAATAACAAAAATTCCCAATCAACCACATCTTTCACAATTCTTGGGTCTTTGAAAAAGCAGTACTAATACTGTTATTTAAATTTCTAGCATAAAAATATTTTCAGAAAAGCAATATATGTTAAAAAGAATAATATACAATTACAGACAGATAGACAGATACAACATATATTATAATTCAGTAAAAGAGTATGTCATCAAACCACAACAATATCTGGAAAATAATTGGTCATTATCTGGTAAATTTGCCATAACCCAGCAATTTCACTCTAGGTATCCAGAGAAGCTCTTTCACATGTACCAGAAGGCAAGTATAAGAATGTTCTTAACAGCACTGTTTGTAATCTCTTTCTTTCATACACGCACCTGGAGAATTTTCAAATATTCATCAAGTGTAGAATGGATAAATCCAATGCAGTGTGAGAATTATTTACAGCTTCATCAAAAAACTTGTATAAATCTGTGTACATAGAGAACAAAAAACTCAAGTAGCAGACTATCACACATACATTTCCATAATATACAATGTTCAAAAAGGTATAGAATTAACCAGTATTTTGTTTAGGCGTACCAACACATGTGGCAAAACTCTAAAGAAAAGCAAGGAAAATTCAAATACAAAATTCAAAGTTGGGAAGTGGTAGGATTTGAGAGAGTTCCATAGGGGATATCAGAGTAATATGTTTAACTTTTTAAGTAAATGGTAGGTACACAATTGTTATGATTACTTATAAACTGCATGCATGTATTAAATGTTCTTTTGAAACTGCTTTTTTAGTTTGTAAAAACAATAAAAAGCAAACACTGCTACACATTCATTGCCCTTATTGTATCTAAGTAGCATATTTAAAAGTAATATAATCACTTCGTCCTTTACAACTCATCTACTTGGGTCCAGTTTGTTATTGTCTGTGATGCTACAAATTTCATAAAGCAAACTGACAGGCCTGTCCCAGGTCTTTTATGCTTGACAACATTTAGAAATGAAAGTTATTTTGAAACCTCTCTCACTGATATTGTAAAATATATTCATACATGAGTATTCTTATTTTGGTCTACTTTTCAATGAATAGTTTTATATTATATACTTCTAGAATTAATTCCTTAATACAACCCAAACACTGCAATTCCATATACCTAGTATGTGTATATGTGCTCCGATACAATTAAATTACAAAACTCACAATTCCATTTTTGATGTTAATGAAATTTATTGTATCTTCTCAATTCACATTCTTCCATCTGTCAAGAGATTAATTGTTATAAATCATTGGTCCAAAAGTCTTTATAAGCATTTCATTTTCAACTAAAGTTATGTATTACTTCAAAATAAGAGATTTTTATTTTTATGTCAAAATATCCATTTGGAGGTATCTTATTTGTAGCTTTTTAGTTATAACTAAATGGACAAAATTATGCTATTAAATATTACAGAGCATTACTTTGGAAGATTTTGTTTTGTTTTTAAATATCACAAACGCAGTTACTATTTAATTATACCAAAATTTTAACAATCCATTGTATATCTCATTATACTTAAAGTTATACTTAAAATCCCCAAGTGAATGACTTATTGTCCTTGTTGTGAAATGGAGCTCTGTGTTGAAATGGTTTTGTGCCCTATTTTGTCTTCTTGGGTTATCTAGCAATTCCTGTGACCCTCAATGTTTTGATTGTACAAATCAGTGTGTTTACTTTTTGTGATGACATTGTTTTATAGCATCTTATATTTAAAGAAATCTTTATATAAAACAAATTAACAATTTTGGTTTTAATATATTTGAAGATATTATAAAATGTATATGTGAATAAAACCTTATGTTGCTTAACTTTTCCATGTGTTATCATTATATGAAAGGATTGAAACTGTGAAAGTAAAAATTGTCAATGAATGCCTAAAGACAAGTGAAACATGACAAATACCTTACCTTTGGATGCAAGGCAAATGATTTTATAATTTCTATGATACACTGTAGTTAGCAGAGCACAGGTGTTTGGGTTGGACAGACCTGCTTTCACATTCCAGCTCTATTAGCTGTGAATCTCTGAGCTCCTCCCTGAGGTCCTCACCCGAAGACTACACAGGGATCTTGTGGAGACTGAATGAGATATGTAGGAATAATTTCTGGTACAAAGTTAGTGCTTAGTAAATGTTCTCTCTGCCCTGCATTCCAGCTCAAAGTAGGAAGTAAAGATTTCTCAGTACAAGAACATTAGCCATTGCAATCGATTATAAGCAATCACCTTATTATCCAAAGCATTTACCAATGGTTTTGTGACATAATCCACAGACCTCAGGACCCGTGCCCTGCTGTCTCCTCTCACTCACTTCATAGATGTTTTCTGATCCACCATTCTCTTTTATTTTGGGCATTTGACTCAAAAGAGAGAAGCAGTTTACTCAGGGAATGGAAAAGCTTACAATGAAGGGAGGGGATGCACATAAAGAATGTGCATCATCACCATCATCATCAGAGAAAAATTATAAAGACCAAGTTGTGAATAACATAACTTTCTATATGAAATAACAATGCTTTTGTCAGGTAAGAGACCAAAGGAAAACCCACTGAGGCTGAACACTCAATGCAGATTTTGTTTGCATCAATTTTGTGCTTATCACTGTGGAAGGCCGTGTAGCATGCTAGTTTCTGAAGATAGAATCAGATATATAAGAAACTTAAAGTAAAATTATGTCTATAAGGTTAAATTCTCTGTCAAATTCTTTTACACCAGGTGGTAGTAACTAAATCTCAGTAAAGTCAAGGACATGCCCTGTTTTAGCAGGGACTCGGCCTTGTTTCCTTGGTGTTCCCCAGTGCAAGGTATGGGAGGGGAATGGGGATCAATCAGTGTTAGGTCATCACAGGTACCAGGCTGCCATGCTCTGATACTATATCCTGGCCCCAGTGTGTCCTTTGGTCATGGTCTACACAGTTTATTCTTGTGTTGTGTTATCATACAAGGTTTAGATTTTTTGCAATTCTCTGTGCTTCATCTAAGGATTAGCACACTTTTTCTATAAAGGGATAGAAAGTAAATATCTTAGGCTACAGACCAAGAAGTTTCTGTCACTACTCAAGTCTGCCCTTGGTAGTATGAATAAATAAAGGAATGGGCATGTCTATCTTTTGATAAAATTTAATTTACAAAAGCATGCAGATGTACATGATTGTCACCTACATTATTGGACAAAATTTTGGGGGTTCTCTAAATCTTCCTGGGGCACAAGAGGGCAGTGGGGCTGTCCAAGTCCTGACTGACTCAAGACCCCATTTGGAAGTGTTTCCCATTATCACCCAACATTGGGCAAAGAATAACCAGGGGGTTTCACTTCTGTCCAGGATAGGGCCTATGAGCCCAGCTCCTCCTTTTCATTCAGAGTTCCCTGACCAGTCTGGTTTCTAGGGCCCCTGTCGCATTACTGCACATCTAATTTGATGTGCCTGGTGTCCCCTGTAGTTGTGCAGTGTGGCACTCCTGCATGGTGAGGCCATTAGGCTTTGCTCAGCATGCTGCCAGGGCTCATACTCACACTCTGCCTCCCCTCTGATTCTCTTCTCTCTTTCTCCTCATTCTGCATGAATTCTATCAAGATTTTGGGTGGAAACAGAAAACCAACTCAGACTGAGCACATATTCTTTAACATATATGGTTTATGTCATATATTTTGTTTAGAGCCTTTCAAGGCTTAGACTTTAAAAACTCCAAAAGTTTTCTCTGTATTAATAGGGAGAGTACAAAGGGTGCCCAAATGTAAAAGATGCATATGTTCTTATTGAGAGACAACATTTAGATGAAATAGTTAAAAAAAAAACAACCTCGATACCTCTCAAGACTTCACATAGTTTTCTCTCTTGCATAAGCCACCAACATGCCACCCAGACTGAGGAAGACCCAGGCACTTCGGGGCCATGTGAGTCACGGCCACAGCCACAAGCACAGGAAGCACCCAGAAGGCCCAGGTGATGCTGGTGGCTTGTATCATCACAGGATCAACTTTGACAAATACCACCCAAGTTACTTTGGAAAGCTGGTGTGAGGCATGAGCACTTAAAGAGGAACCAGATCTTCTGCCTCACTGTCAACCTTGATAAACTAGGACAGTGAGCAGACACAGGTAAATGCTGCCAAAAACAAGACCGGAGCTGCTACCATCATTGATGTGGTGCAATCTGGCTACTGCCAAGTTCTGGGAAAGGGAAAGCTCCCAATGCAGCCTGTCATTGTGAAGTCCAAATTCTTCAGCAGAAGAGCTGAGGAGAAGATTAAGAGTGTTGGTGAGGCTTGTGTGCTGGTTGTTTGAAGCCACATGCAGGGGCTCACAAGTGCTTTTGTCTTCTGGTCTGAGTGCCGGTTCTTTGGTGCCTCTACCTGTGTCAGAAACCTGCAGGTTCTAGGAGTTAGGGGTGTGAGGACCTGGGCTCTTCTGCCAACTCCCCTGAGAAAGAAAGTGTGCAAGAGTTAGCACACTAAGTGTGTAAGAGGCCTTGGTCTGTTACCTGAGTTGAACTTCTCATTTATAAAGTGAAAATAATAGCTAAATTAATTAATTAATTAAAATTAAAAAATAAAAAAAAAACTCTACCCAAACTTAGTAGCTTAAAACAAGTCAATAATTTATCAAAATTTTGTGGGTTCACCAGTTGGTTCTTTGGCTGGTATCTGCCTGGGCTCCAACACAACGTTGCATTTAGCTAGTGGGTTGGCTAGAGTCTGAGCTCAGCTGGAACATTTGGGATAGCTCGGGCCCTCTCTCTCCATGGTCCTTCATTCCATTTTCCCTCATGGCATGGTAACATTCCAAGAGAGTAAAAGCAGAAGGTGGAAAATCCCTTAAGGCCTAGCCTTGGAAGTTGCATAATATCACTGCCACCATATTATATTGGTTGCATAGACACTCTAGATTCAAAGGGTAAGGAGTCAGATATCACCTGAAGTGACACCAGGCTGTGTTATGCTTTGCCCTAACTAAATTTATCCTGCCAAAGGGTAAGCAAGGCTGAACTGCAACCTGGTTGCATTCAGCCAGTTGGATGGACTAGAGTGGATTTGCATCTAGTATGAGGAAGGGGTCACATACATGCTACATCATGTGTTGTAGACTCACTCTGCCCAGTGGTGAAATTTTCGAGTTTGCAAAGCACTATTTAGGCTGGTTGAGGCCCTGCTGAATGCCAGCTTACTGTGAATCAAATACACAATGGACCTTGATGAAGGCTAAGATCTTTACCACAGAATATAGATCGTTATTCCAAAGTTGTACAGGGTTTGCAGTGAGGAAAAGGAGAGAGGGAAAGAAATTGGATCTTGTTCTTGGTTTACCTAAACTTCTTTGTATTCACTCCTAGGAGTGAAGCTGCATTATCAGGAGTTGGGGTGAGGGTATCTGTCTCCAAAGATTCTTCTTAAGCCTTCAGAGGATATTCCATATGAATGATTCTTTCATCTTTTATTCTTATCATTTATCATTTCCCAAGTCCTTTAAATCCCTTTCTACAATAGCTTCATTCTCACTCCCTCTTTTCTCTGTTTGTGTGTAGCCCCAAACATCAGCTACCTGTCCTGTCCCTGAAGCTTGGCAGAACAGAAGAGTGGGCTGTGGTCTTAGAGGCTGCTAGCTCCCTTGGAAGAGAAAACAAGTGCATTCTGATTTGATGATTAGATGTCAGGGAGGAGGTATGTGCTGAGATTCTATCCTGGGCAACAAATGATTATCCTGTTAATAAAATAAAAATCAAAGACACTGGACAAGTATAATTTCCTTCAAAATTCCCCTTCTAGTATGCATGAAGTAGAATCAATATTTCTCTCTTCAGCTTAACTACAATGATGCTATTCTTTTAGTCCAATACCTTAGACCTATTACGGTGGAAGAGCATCCCTATCTTCTATGACTTTATTTTAAAAATCATTGTAACTTATCTGGCAATAAATGATAACTGCATTCAGGTAGAGGTTCATCATGATTCTCTCTTTATGGTATTGGAATAAGGGGGTGAAGAGTGGGGAGTGAAGACAAGGGAGAGGGGAAGTTTCTGCCACTGAATGGAAATTCAGAAATATCAAGGTGATTTGTCTTGATGATATGATGCCTCTAATGATATTACCATTGTTCAGGATCTTGGGTGACTAATACAAATCAATTTATAAAAATATGAATAATATCATTATAACTGTTTCAACAGATGAAACAGTGATCAGTAGATGAAGAGTGTGGTCATGATAGCACCATTTTCAATAGC